TTATTTAAAAACTAATAAAATTTATATTTTAAAATAAAAAATTAATATATTTATCGATACATTTTCTCTTGAACGGGAGGTGGTGAATTATTGCCAAGTCCAATAATGCGGTGAGGCTTGTTGCCCGTTTGCCTCTTTATATTTTTCTTTTTTCTCTCTCAAATATTAAAAATTACGTTAAACCCCTATTTTGGTCCTTGAATTATTGTACGGACCTCCAATTTGGTTCCTAAACTAAAAAAATTCCTAATTTGATCCTTGAATTATTGTATGGACAGTTGAGTTGGTCCCTAAACTATTGTACGGACCCCTGAATTAATCCCTAAACTATTATACGGATTCCCAATTTGGTCCCTACTGTTTACCAATTTAGCCCCAACTTAGTCCTCCTATTAAATAATAGTTCAGGGACCAAATTGGGGTGAAATTGTAAACAATAAGGACCAAATTAGGGGTCCGTACAATAATTCAAGGACCAACTTAGGTCAAATTATAAACAGTAGAGACCAAATCGGGGTCCGTACAATAGTTTAGGGACCAAATCAGGGATTTCTTTAGTTCAAGGACCAAATCAGGGGTCTGTATAATAGTTCAGGGACCAAAATGAAGATTTAACCTAAAAATTAAACGTTAATGTAGAACAAATCCTTTTTAAATTTTTTTTTAAACAATGTGTTTAAAAATTTATATTTTAATTAATATTGGAAAAAATTAATTATTAAATTAAAATATTTATTTATAAAAATTATATATTTTAATTTTTATATTAATTTAACAATTATAATCATTTAATTATAAAACTCTATATTTTTACAGGAAATGGAAAATTATGAAGCAACGACAATATATATTGGAGTCTGCATTCTGTGAAGAAGCGTTTCGCTTAGTCCGGTAATGCAGTGAGGCTAATTGGGACGCAGTTACTGTGAATGCAGAAAAATGTTAAAAGCTACACGAAACTGACCAGTAAAAATTTTCAGTTACAGGGACTATTCTTCCCCTTTCATGATCAGAACAAAAAAATCTCTTTTATTTTTTTGTAGAGTTTCTCTTTCATTTCATTCCCCACCAAAATCATCAGCGTCCCAACAAGCAATGCCAAATGCCCGAATTCTCGGCGAATATGTTATGACCACTTACGCCTTGACTTCGGATGCTTTGTTAATGGCAACAAAAACAGTGAGCAGTTTCAAAACGTAAGTCTAGATCCCTCTTTAATCATTAAGGTAGTTCTGATTTTATCAGTTGTTTTTAAAGATTACTCCTTTTGTCTCTAACAATAATTGTTAGATTTTTTTATTTTAAAATTAAAAATTTAGGAATAATTTTTATCTTATTTATTGTATTTAAAAAAAATAAAAATAAAGAGATTTTTTATATAATAAAATGAATAATTAAAACAAAATTAATTATTTAATAAAAAAATAGTTACCTCCTTTAAATTTTTTTAAAATAACTATTATTTGAAAACAAATTTTAAATAACAAAGTTTTATTATTTTAAAAAAAGTAATTTTTAAAAGGAAATGACACAATTTTGCAAATTTGAGTTAGAAAGAGGGGCAAACTTGACTTCACGAGTCTCTAATTAGGTGTGTTCGCAGTGTGATTTGATTCAGATTTTAATATTTTAAAAACCAATCTAATTTAATCGGTTAGTAAAATTTTCAAACCAATCTAATCTATTATTTTATGATAACCAAACCAATCCAATTTAAATCAGATCGGTGTTGTTCAGTCAGATTGATCGATTTTTAATAATATTAAATATATGAGATAATATAAAAAATTTTAATATTAAGTAAAAAATATAACTATAAAATAAATTAACATCCAAATTATTAGAAACATAATAAAATGCACAAATTATAAGTAAATTCTTATACTCATTTACTATTGTAAAGATTGAAAATTTCTTTTTGGCTAAATCACTAGAGGCATTAAGGATAATAAAAGATAATTTCAAATTTTAAATATGGTACAAGTAATTTTTAAATATTAAAATTAGTTTTTTTTTCATTAATGCACCAAATGATTTAATCTTATCTTCCAAATCTTGTTAAAAGTAAATAAAATTTAACATGAATGTCATTAGGAGTGATTAGAAGCATCCATAATTAAGATTTAAAACTCCTCAACTAAACATCCAAGAATAATAGAATATCAAAATTAGTTCTATTATATAATTTTAAGACTTCTAGAATGATATTTATTAAAATTTAGTTAGGAAAATCAAAATATTATTTTAAAAACAAATTAAAAATTTAAAGTTCTAAAAGTAAAGTCGTAAAGCAGTTTTAAAAAATAGAGCTATAGGTGAATTGAAAATTTAGAATTAAGATTAGAATGCATGATTTAAAAAGAAAAATAAATTAAAGAATATGATAATATTTTATTTTTATTTTTTAATTGAGTTAATGGAGTTATCATCTTATAAAATAAAAAAAATTAAAATATTACAAAAATAAACTATATTATTTGATTAAGTTATCTGATTGTAATATCCCAAATTTTTGGGAATTTTATCATTTAAGTTAGGGACTTGATTGTGAGAAAATATTATTTTGGGGTTTATTAGCTAAAATATCTAAACTTGAGGGACTTAAAAGGGATAAACATTAAGATAAAAGGTGGCTGATAATTTTTCCCTTTTTTTTTCTCCAGCCACTTTTCACGTGATTGCTTATCTTCTTCCTCCCGACCCCCCCTTGCATCCCGAAAGCCCCCAAGCTTGCCTACCTCCATGCTTGGAAAAAAATTGGAAAAAGGCTTGAAATTTCTCTTCTTTTCTTGTTCAATCACCAGATTTAGGACCTAGAAATCCCTTTAAAGCCATAAATATTTCAGATCTGTAGTTTCTCTTCCTCCCCTGTCCGCCGGCTGCTATGTGGGTGTGTGATTTTTGGGCATTTTTCGGTAAGCTACGGCCATGGGTCTCCTCCTTTTAGCCTTAATTTAACTTGGGTTACTCTAATTTGTGCTTTTGGTTCTCCAATTTTGAGGTAGATCCGTGAGTTTCCCCTGCAGATTCCGCCGGCCTTCCCCCAAACCCGCCAGCTCCGGCCTTGCTTGCTGAATTCTGGTATGTTGACAGCCCTTCCAAGCCCAAAATTTCATCAATTAATTGCTGCCTGTGCTGTCCAAAATTCTGCAGTAATTAGGGGATAATTCCGGTAGCTTTAGGACAAAATTTAAGCATTAATTCAAGTAGAATTTATGTGATTGAGTGTTAATTGGCTACTGTGAGATTTTGGAGAGAAATCTCGTGAGATTAGCTATGGTTTTGCCAATTTTTGGAAGTTGCAGTTACTGTTCACTACGTATTACTGTTTATGGTACTGTTTACGCACTAATAGCCAACAATAAGAGGGTTTAAATGTATAGTTATACTAAGAATAAAATTGAGATGTTTGGTCATATGGTTGAATTTCGTGTGAAGTTCATTGGTTAGTAAATTTGCAAGGTTGTGTTAATAATTCTACCAAAGTCTAAATGTATTTATTTGGAATATTAGGTGCTATTATGGCTTAGAGCACTGAGATTGAGTCCTCCGTTTATGCGATTTAAGGTAAGTAAATTATGGTAATGCCCTACGATTTTGAAAGTATATTTTAGCTTGTTTTTGAAGTAGTGGCGGGACTAAACCCGTTTTACACAAGTATGATCGATTTGAAATGAAATTATTATTCTTTTTATTGATTTGAGCATGCCTTCTTGGAATTTATTTAACTGCCCTGATGATTTAGAAATTATCTGTAAAGTATGATTTTCTGTTAAATTCTGCCTGTTTTGTCTCCGATATGGTCATGTTATTTGTGTGCCCGCTAGTGGGAGGTTTATAAACGCTAGCATATGTCGACATGTTACTGATAGAACTGGTTCGTTTCTGTTATCCTGCTAGTGGGATTATACACTAGTAAATCGTGTGCCTGCCAATGGGAGGTTTA